TATATATATATAGATCAGTGAGTCCATTTAAACCCAAAATGGACCATTTTTGGACTGAACACATTTTTGAGGAAATGCAGCTAGTGACTTAATATCAAACATTTGGTTCGAGTGGGAGGACCTTTTTTTGGTTCTGCAAAAAGAATTATGTAATGCAGTGATAAATAATAACAGGACAAACAACACATCGTGCTGTTATTTTCCCTAAAGCGGATCGGGGATCTTAACATTCTTGCCTTTTTTATGAAGGTGTGAAGTCCCAATTTATTTTTTGCATTTCATGTAAAAATATATATTTGTCTTCCTCTCCCTAGAAAACCAGAAGCACTTTGAAAAGCATCGCTGGCCTCCTGTGTGGTTTTTGAAGGAGGAAGACCGCTATCTGCGCTCCCAAAAAGAGCGAGAGCGCGAGGAAGAGATCTTGCGTAAACAGCACACTAAAAGGGGCTGGTGCTTCTGGAGGCACCCATCCTCCTCTCCACACGTCTCCTAAAGACATTCCATTAATGACTCTTCATCCAGACGTGGATGATCCCTTCTAGGGAAGTAACCACCATGCCCCCCGCCACCTCGTTAAAGTGTATGGAGGAACTTCCTGTCTGTGGATAAAACAAGAAAACAATTCTCTGTGCTAATAATTTGGAATGTCTGCATGTTTGGGGGAGTGTATGTGCCTCTTTCGAAGTGTGGTTGACCATGTGGATATATTTGGGTGTGTTGTGGGACAAATATGAGCTAAGCTGAAAGGGGCATGTGCATGACTGTGCGTGTGTGGAGTATTGTTACTTAGTGATGCTTCCAGGTTGAGTGCTTCACAGACGCCCTGATCTATAAAGGCCTGAGGCCGTGCATTGCACCTCCCCTCCCTTCCACTCCTTCCTCCTCACAATGTTTCGTCCTACCACCAGCACTCAGAACGTTTTGCCCTCTGAGTGATTGGACTGGATGCAAGGGCTCTTATTCTCTCTCATTCTCTCAATCTTCAACCTTCACATTGCCCTTAATGACTATTACACACCAACCACTGCAGCTCCCTTTGGGGGTGGGCGTTTACCTCTGCCTTTACTTCTACACAGACTGTTAGCTTAAGCTCACAAAACCATGTGCATATTCTAACCTTGTAAAACCAGCTTTGGGTTTCCAGGAACTAACACTGACAACAATTTTTAAAGTATTTCTGTAGTGTTTGATCTACTTTTGCACCTTTTGGGGATGTTTGTATCAGGAGAAATGGTGCACACTTCCTCTGAGAAGTGAGCTGTCGCTTTTACTACCGGTCCTACATACTTAGGAAGTTAATATGCTCTTATCAGGAGGTTTGATCTCAGAAATTAGCTCAAGTATAGTTCTGCTGTTGCTCATCACCTAGCCCTGCATCTTCTAATCCCGTTTTCTGTGCACCACACTAGTGAAAAAGCAGAATGCAGGCTCTGTTTTTGTGATGCTTTTAGAGACACAGCCACTCTTTAGCACTGATGGCCATTAAAAGGGCTCGCCTTACTTGATACCTCTGCCACAGGAGAAATGGATACATTATTAAATGTTCTTAGCCACCAGGATGCACTAAAGCACCCATGCGGACACCACCAGGGGCCACACTGCTCAGGACCCTGACACTAACCTAACAGTGGTTTTTATGCTTGTCTTTTCATTGATGGAGGTCATCACTAAAACCCAATCCTGGCTAAGTACTAAAAAACTGGCGAAAGCTCATGCAACATGTTTTAACAGATTTAAAACCTATACTTCAATCATCTGAAAAGCAAAGCTAAAGTTCTTGCTTTTTTTAATAGTTGTTTTGAATTGGATAACTAAATGTAGAGGGGACAACAGTGACAATTCGGAGAAGAAGGTTGTTTAAGATATTTGGATCACATATTTTGGGGTTGACACTATCAATTTTTAGTGTCAGGAAAAAAAAGTGTCACATCAATACGTTGCCTTCTGTTCCTGTTGCTGGACTAGAAAAAGGTGCTTAAACACTAACACAATGTCCACATGAACACAGACTTCAGTTATGTCTCATTGTTTAACATTTATTTGTGAAGAAGATTTAGAAATTTCACCATAGCATTCAAATTTGACACTTTTTACCATTTTTAAATCTCAGTTTCTCCTTCGTTGTTTACTGACCGCTTCTACAAGTCATTTTAGATTGTGGATGAGTTCTGTTTTTGCAAACAGTGCTTAAAATCCTGTGTTATTTCTTTATTTTATGCTGAAAAACAAAGCAACATCTGGTTTGGCTACCTTGTTACTCGTGATCTTCATGGATTTCAAGCAGTGATGGTTGTTTCAAGCAGTTTGAGCAAATTATATTTTCTTAAGGGTGCTAATTTCTTTGGATTTTTGTACTGAATGTGGGGAAAAATTGAGTTGTGATTGTGAGTTTCCATTAGCACATTTTATATTGTGGGTTTGTACCCTTCAGCTTTACCCAGACAACCGTAGGACATAGATAGATAGTGTGAGACATGTGGTGCATTCTGGCGTTTTCCACAGGAGGTGTGTAAAGTAATTTTCAGCTACCAGAATAGAAGTCATATAGGATCTCACGTGGCCCAAGTGAGAATTGAGATGATTTATTTCCAGGAAGAGTAAATGTGGAGAAACAAAGTGCAAATCTTAGTAAACATTTGTTGCATCTGATATAAAGTAGAATAATTTCATAGGCAATTGAAGTCATCCCAGTGTAGTGCTTTGGGAAGTTACAACTGAAACCTGAAGAAGAGAGAAATAAATGTATAAAACATTTTTTTAGATTGACTTGTATGGTCTCTTTTTGATCCATTTGGCCTCATTTCTTGGTCCATGTGCCTTATAGTTGGACAAAATTAAATTAGAAATTTAGCAACAAATTTGTTGAAACTTGCAAATAGGCCCTTCAGTCGTAGATATGATGAAGCAGTCAATAAACAATCAAATGTAATATGCGCTCTCAGTAATTATCTTTCTTAATTTAAGAAAGGGAGTTTTTTAAGCCAACTTGAGCCATGCCTTCACATATTTTTGGGCTTGTGGTTTTATGCAGACGGTTGAGTTGTTCAATACTTTAAGCTGTGTAATAGAATAGGTTGGTTCAATCACATGGCCTTAGATTAGGATGTTGTTGTTTTTTCTAGATTAGGACATGTTTCTTTACTGAGCAAGTGATCAAAAAGTAGCTGTTAAAAATGATCAGTTGACTCTTGCAGTTTATCTTCAACACCACTGACTGTGAGAAACATGTTTTTATATATAAATATACAAAAAGCACTGGCTGGCCTGTGTGCTGGGAGGTTGCAACCACTTGTAGAATGTGGTTTATTTGCATGGTGCCCTTACTGTCAGAGTGACGTTATAGTGTTGGAATGCACTTTTTATTGTTTTTTTTTTTTTTTTGTCTATAGCTTTCTGGTTTGCATATGTTTATACTTAGGTAAAATCACTTTTAGTCCTGATGACTGTAGCATGAGATTTTCACCTAGCATTGAAATTTCTCTGATGTCGCTCCCTGAGGAGATTAATACTAAGACTCATTGGCTTATTTAGGGTCTCGTTGGCAATGAACCGCCTGAATGGCTTTACAAACATGTCTGTCTTATGAAATTTTCAGTACAACTTAAAAAGTAGCATTAGAAAAAAAAACATAACTTGAATAAACATGCTGGGACATCAATGGACTTATAGCTTGAAAAAAATTATGGTAGATCTGTTGCCATTCAATGCCACAGCCGTCCCATGTATGCTGCAACTGTAGTTAATCTTATAATTTATACTTGTGATTAAAAAAAGGTTTGGAGTATAAAAATGGATTGTAGATTTAATATCTTTAATAATGAAGTCCTAAGTGGTTTAAAGCATGTATGGATTAAATTGCATGAAATGACAGTGAATCTGTGAATGGCATGGGCAGTTTCTGGGATGAGGCAAATGCTACTTTGTGTAACAGTCAAATGTTTAGTACAAGTTTTTTAAAGTGGGCTTATGTGGAGTGGTTATGAGCAAATAATATCATACCTGTTGTAATTTACGGTTTGAACAATATAATTTTAGAGAAACAGAGTGTAATTCTGGCTAGCTTGCGATAAAGGCCAATTCAAGCAGGACTGGGACCAAAATGGATTGTTTGCTGGCGTAAAACAACTCCAGTTACAAAGAATGAATGCTACGTTTTAAAACTCTTGTACTCTTGTTAAATTTGCATTGGTGGAAATATTACAATATTAATGCTGGAAGCATCCCAAGCTGCACCAGAAATGTTACGGCCAGCTGCTGCTGAGAAAACCTTTCTTTCTGGAAAAAAAGAAGAAATTTTCAACATTTAAAGTTGGTTTGAAATGGCAGCCTGCTTGGACTAGCCATTATTGGCTTGTCAATCTGGTCAGAATTAAACTGTTTTGTTTTTTAAACTGAGATAATACATAGACCAATGTACAATGAGTAATGTATTAATTGCTTGTGACCCTTCCACAATGCAACACTTCAAAAGATTTGAACTATCATTTTGAGCCTTGGTTTTGGGACCTCAAATAAGGTCATCTAAAGGTTATGCGAAAAATGCCTAAAATTTGAGATAAAATTAATTAGCCCTTGATAAATGATTTGCAAGGATTCCTACAAGCCAAAGTTAGATATTCTTGCATTTTGATGTTGGGACATTGATTTGTAAAATGTGCATTAATGTCTATTCTATCTCATCTTTTTTTGACTGTCATTCAATTTTAGACATAGCAGTTCTTCCTATTTTGCAGGCCTGACATCCCATCTTTATTGTGAGGCCAAGCGACTGAGAGAACAACTTTTCTTTGAAGTGTTCAATGTCTTCTTTCCTGTGCCTTCAGTGAAATCTCACTCAGTGCACCAGTAGCCGCCTGGGCTCTGAATAATGTCACCTAAGCCAAGAAATACAAGCATAGAAAAAAAAATAAACCTTTTTTATACAACATAAACTTAAGTGGATTATTGTTAGGTATGTAGTCATTAGGTAATTGGATGATAACTTTAGGAAAACCATCAAACTTGACAGGTTCAGTGTGTAACGTCATCCATGCTAACGTTTTGCAATAGATGACTTAAGTATTCAAATGCATAAAGACACCAAGCAAACCAGCAGTTATAGAATAATGATTCTTCACTCTTCCAGGTGCCTGCACTTTCTATTATGTAGCCTAATAAGATATTTTATATGCTTTTTCTTTATTTTATTGATCAGCATTATTTTATTATTATTTTTTGTTTCTCCACCTGGTCGTTCTCTCTAAGCCAAAGTCAGGAGTGAACTTTATTGCTTCCATTATTTATCTGCAATGAATGCTATTGCAGGTAAATTCAGTGTCCTTTATGTTGGAAAATAGTATTTGTTAACATATGATTGTATTGAAGGCACATTTTAGTTGTGACCTCTGTATGCATTTTGCTTTAATGAAAATGGTATTTATCCAAAATACAGCACAGTGTTGTGGATTTGATGTAGGTGTCAGCTGGGGATAACCTCTCACCTTTTTTAATACTCATTACAAAGCGTGTATTAACTAAGTTAGTGTATACATAGGATTGTATGGGGTCATTTATATTGACATGGTGTAATTAACTCCTGGTCTATACTGTAATTTTTAAGTGGCTCGTATCTTCTGTATAGTTTTGTTATGCACTTTTGTTTCCATGGACTCATATGTGTGTTAATTACATGAAATGCTTATGTTGTTATGTTTCATACAGTCAAATTGCAAAAGAAAAGAGCACAGCACTCTCACCAACTATTAAGGGCTTTAAAAAAATGCAAACAATCAGAATGTTTAGCTCCTGTTGCAAAAAAAAAAAAAAAGTTTTGAAAATAAAATTTTGTAAGTTTTTTGAACCACTGTGATTTGTACAAAAAACATAAAAAAAGAAATGGAGAGGAAAAAAAACGTTTTTTTCTTCTTTTTTTTTCTTCTTGCCATTACAGTATTTTGATGTTTGACTTGAATTTTATTAAAACTGTTAATCTTTTAAAGCTGTCTCATGCATTTGTTGTGGTGCAAATGTTGTAAAGGAACAATGTTTGTGTACACTTCAATAACAGGAGAAAAATGCTGTTGCTTTCTTTTTTTTTTTTGTAAAGTCCATTAAAATAAGTACGTATAGCTAACCATCCTTTTAAACAAATGTAAAAATAATAAATGAGAACAAAAAATAAAAAACTAAGAAGAGATTTAGATTATGATGATTTTTACTTTTACCACTGTTGTCCAAATGCACAAAACATTGTGTAATATTTTACATAAATGTAAGTCAACTGTGTGATTAGGGGTTTTTGGTAATTGCAGAAATGGAAATTTGTGTACTGTATGTCTGTGTATACAGACTAGAGTTGCAAAGTAAAAATACTTTGTTACTGTAGGTTATTTATACTTTACTTGAGTAAACATGTTTGCTAACTTTTTACTTTTATTTTCACACTTTCTACTCTTAACATTTTACAATTTACAATTTTGTTCACTTGGGTGGAAACCAGCACATGACATAAATTACTTCAGCAGGACACATGTGGCCTAGTATGAGCTTTGTAGAGATATTTATGTGGATGAAACAGGACATCGTGTGCATCCCAAATTTCTTAGCATTATTATTTAATATAACATAGTCACGACTTTTAGAAAAAGTGTTTTTTGGGGAAGTCACTTCCCAATAAATGTCAGTTTGGAAAATCGACCTGCTCATTTTTACTTAATACTTTAACTTTTAGTACTTATATCAGATAATTACTTTTGATACTTAAGTACTTAAGACTTTTACTAACAAATATTCTAATAGAAGACTTTCAATTTTACCAAAGTAATTTCATGGTAAAATCTTTGTACTTTTATTTGAGTATCAATTCAGGGCACTATATACAAAACTAATACAGACATGTGCAAAATAACCAGAATAAGATGAGGTCAATAAAAAACAGGTAGAAAAAACACCGTCAGTCATAAGGAGAAAGTTATCAAAGAAAATCCCAATAGGAATAAAAATAATAAAAAAATAAACCAGAAATCCAGTCCACTAAAATGTTCCTACATCTACTGCACATTTTAGATAACTTTGGCTACAAAAAACAAAACATAAATTTACTAAAAATAAAGTGTCAACTAAAATTTTCACATTTTTCCCCTTTTTTTTTGTCACAACCCTCAAGCCTGTGCTTCATGCAAACCCTAACAGAGTTTAATTCATTTGTGCCATCTAGTGGAGCAAAAGCACAACTGTGCAAACTAAATGTGTGCTGAAAAATAAAAACACACCATACTCTTAGATTTGCTTTTTGTAGTCATGTAACTATAAGGGGAGGAAAAAAGTCTGAATAAGAAACACATATAACCAATATTCCTAATTACATTTATATATGAGATGAACTTAGCAACTTCAGAAAGGATCCCACAAACCCACAGAAACACAGGAGCAGACGTCATGGTGATGTGATGTGTTTGATGATCAGAGGGGTCTCAAGGGAAGGTGGCAGTAGAAGGGAGTGGAATATTTGAGCCCGTATGCCATTTTGACACGAGTGTATTTCAGTCACACACTCCTCTTTTTTTCTTTTCTGAAAAAAGAAATGAGCTGGTCGTGACACTAACAAGCCCTTTTATTAACAAACAGTGACGCAAATCAGGTTTCCTTTGATATATCTTGTAAATGCAAGCATTGCATGTGTTTTCAACAGCAACCCTCATTGGTCACCAGAATTGGTTTAACACTGATTACAGACCTCTATCCTGCATCATCAACTGGAAACATGGACCGCGTTCAAACTTCCCACAAGTGTTGCCCCCGCTGCTGCACCGAAAGCCTGGCGGATCACAACTTCAGAGTCACAGAGGAAAGCTGACATCACCACATCTGGATGTCATTTCCTTTGGCTCTCTTGGAAGAAGACAAGAAGCGTCTAATTGAGAATGAGAGATATGTGTACAGTACAGACCTTTCATTGCACTAAAGAATATTTTTGTCAGTCAGATGATCTCTGAGGAAAATAAATAAAAATGAATCTTGAAATTTAAAAGAAGGGAATGAGAATACAATTATAACCAAAACATAAACTTTCTGAAGCTTTGTTAGATGAAAGTGCTAAAAGCTTCTCAACTCCAAGGCTGTAATGGGTAAACACTACAGTGTAACAGGAACTTGACATTCCATTTAGAAAATGATGTAAATATTCTCCAACATTCCACATACAAGTCTCATACCTCTGCTCAAAATTCATTTTCTGAAAAAACTAAAATCACTTTCTAATTTGAAAAAAAAAAAAGGTTTTGGAAAATCAAACCCAAAACTATGAGGACGAATTTGTGGCAACTTCTCATATCTGCATGATCAGACATGTTTCATTGTAGAAAAGTGGAGGTGAAACATAAGCCCTTGTATATGAAGTGAAAAACCTAAGCGAATGGGAAGAGAATTTTCAGCTTGAAAACAGAGCTACTTGTACACGCCAAGAGTTTAGGGAGTGATATCTCAAGGCTGTTGTGAAGGTGCATAGCTGAGCAGTGACCTCACCTGGAAGTCTGATGAGAAGACACCCAGATTCACTCTCGCTTCGTCGGTCTGTCTCTTCCACACAAAAAATAAGTATTTCAGACATTGTTGCTCTTTCTATTCAACTAGAATCTCCTGCTTCTAGGCCTACTTTGCATTTTTTATTTTTCCTTCTCTTCCCTCGTCTGGCTGATTTTAAATCTGGTCTCTGCCATTTTTTCAAGAGAACATTTTTGTGATTTTGCCCCCCAGCGATGATTATGTTCATGAGTTCCTCTTGAAGGATAAATGAGTGGAAGCTGCCAGTGAATCTGCTCATCAACAACACCTCTGAGGTGTTCCCACACTCACTCCATTGTGTGTCTCAGACAGTCCTCCAATGAGCTGAACTTTACCACAACAGGACTCAATAAAGGGATCAAAAAGTCAATAACATATTGTCAGGAATAAAAAAATATGTCACAGGAAATTTTAAAAAGCAGGTTGAGGTTTTAACATTAGGAGTGATTGTGGCTCAGTTAAAGTGTGCTTGTCATCTATTTGCATGTTTGAAAATACATGTCAAAGTCCTACCACATGCTGAAGTGTTCTTGGAGAATGCAATGACAGACCACCTATCGCTTTTCACTGCCGAAGTTTAAACCCACCAAAAAATGCATGTGATTTTTCATAGCTCTTGAAGTACAGGGGTTAGACAATGAAACTGAAACACCTGGTTTTAGACCATAACATTCCTTTCAGACAGCTTCCTCTTGCGTCCACAGTTAATCCTGTTGGATGTGGTTCGTCCTTCTTGGTGGTATGCTGACATTACCATGGATACCGTGGCTCTTGATACATCACAAAGACTTGCTGTCTTGGTCACAGATGCACCAGCAAGATGTGCACCAACAATTTGTCCTCTTTTGAACTCTGGTATGTCACCCATAATGTTGTGTGCATTGCAATATTTTGAGCAAAACTGTGCTCTTACCCTGCTAATTGAACCTCACACTCTGCTCTTACTGGTGCAATGTGTAATTAATGAAGATTGGCCACCAGGCTGGTTCAATTTAGCCATGAAACCTCCCACACTAAAATGACAGGTGTTTCAGTTAACCCCTGTATATGCTTGGGCTGGCTCTCTGCTATAACCAAATCAAATTCTAGCTCAATATTGAAAATAAAATAAAATAAACAAGTCTCAGCTGTTGTTACACATGCAAAGGCTGATTAGCTGTGGCAGCCATCATGAATTGATTTTTTTAAGATAACCAGTTGTAGATGTACATTTAATACGTGGTTCACTTGATGCTTTTTGCCAACAGTCAGACAGGGTTGACTCCAACTGTTAGGTGATCTGTTAGTGCTCAAAACGTGTTGGGAATGACTCCCAGCCATTAACACACCAAAAATTTGCTTTATTATAGAAGTGATTGCACTATTACCATCTGTTATTGCCATATGTTGTTATAAAATGTTCATTTAATAATTACTTTGTGAGAATTTCAAGAAAATATATTTCATGTTTTATTAGATATTGTGCTAAAAAAACACACAAACACAGACAATTACGATTGACTATATTTTATGGGGTTGGGAAATACAAACAACAACAACAACAACAACAACAACAACAACAACAATATATACAGTACATGTGTGTATGAATGGATGAGCATTTTGCATATCTGTTTAAACAAAATAAAAGTAAAACAAAAGATCAATGAAGATTTTTGCAAATGTAAATTATAGTTAGATGACTTTTTATTATGTATAAAGACACATGAACTGCTCACCTGTGGTTTAGCAACATGGGTTGAACAAAAACTTAACACCAACAAAGTTATGTCTTCCTGGATGTAGCTTTGAAATGCTTGGCAGCGCGGCAGTTCAGTGGTTAACACTGATGTCTCACAGAAAGAAGGTCCTGGGTTTGAACCCTAGTTTAGTCCTGGGGGTCTTTCTGTACAGAGTTTGCATGTTCTCATCGTGCTTCTGTGGGTTTTCTCTTGGTACTCCGGGTTTCCCCCACAGACCAAAAGCATGTACAATAGGTTGCCTTCTGGTTCAGGCCTCCCATGCAAAAAAATAAAAAAATAAATGGTACTGAACTTATAGAGCGCTTTCCAAGTCCCTCTGGACCCCAAAGCACTTTACACTGATGGACATTCACCCATTCACACTCACATTCTGATGATGGCAAACTACACTGTAGTCACAGCTGCCCTGGGGCACACTGACAGAGGTGGGGCTGCCATGCACCAGCACCACCAGACCCTCTGACCACCATCAGTATAGGCAAGGTGGGTAAAGTGTCTTGCCCAAGGACATAAACGACTGAGACGGCTGGATGGGGGATCGAACCAGCAACCTTCCAGTTCCAGGATGACTCCCTTAACCACTCCGCCACAGCCGCCCCAAATAATAATAAAAAAAAAAGATCTCAATGGGATTTGCCTGGTTAAATAAAAGTAAAAATATATATAACTTAATAAATAACAATAAAAATGAAAATTTGTATAATAAAACTCTTTTTAAGGCAACTACCAAGATGAATTAACTTTAAGGCGCTGTTCACCATCATCAATTTTACTTTATCAACCATTAGTTATAAATGCCATCTTATGGAACTTTCAGTAATGAGTGGACCTTACTGGTCTTGATTGTTACATTATTTTTCTCAACTATGATTTTGCACATTGGTTTAGTTTA